GGAGCCGGCCGCTGCCCTTCGAATCTCGTCGACAACGGTTCACCTGGAACGCGGTGCCCTCGGATCGCCTTCGCTCCGCGCCGATCCTGAATTCGTCGGTCGTTCTTCCAAATTCTCGTCGCTCCTCCTCTTTTTCCGTTGTAATTGTACGCCGGACCCGCCTATTTCGCGGTAGACCCGCCCGTTTCACGGCGGACACGCCCATTCCGCGGTAGACACGCCCACGTAGGGCTTTCGCGAACAGTCACCCGTCACGTGGCTCCGCGAATCGAACGCGGAGAATCAGCGGATCGACGATCTGTCACGGTCGGGGCGGATCGAGTCCGAGAGCGAACATCATCCCCATCCGAGAGCGGAGGAACAGCCAACCGTCGCGTCCTCGATCATTTCCGTGCTCGAGCCCCTGGTACAATATCGTTTCGGTTCCGCCGAAGGATCTTGACTTGTTCTCGTCTCTTGCATCTGTGCATCGTCAGTCCTGTCTCCTTGCCATCGATATACATATATTTATATATATACATATAAGTACTGTATTACACACGCACGCGTCTCTCTTCAAGCACCATTTTTTCTCTCTGTTCATTTCTTCTTAGTTCTCGTCTGTCTCTTTCTCCCTCCGTCCCCCCGCAGTTCATTCTCTCTTATCTATTTATCTCTCTCCCCGTGCAGTCTGTGCGTCATCGTATCATATCGCCCGACGAACCCCTAGCTTCTCCGTCGATTCAACGCTACCCTATTCCTCGTCGGACAATTTCCTCCTCGCGTAACGCGTCGCTCCTCTTTCGTTCCACGTTCATTCCACGTTCATTCTACGTTCGTTCTAGCATCAGCATCATCGTATCTCGTCCCCGTTCTCGTTTGCCGGTATCATTCGACGCGTGTCGTCGAACGCGTGCGTGTCGTGCGCGACTTGCGCGTCCGCAGCCTCGAGATCGTCGCGCCTTGATAATCGTCCCGGTCCCTGCCACGTAATCACATCCTCGAATGATACGACGAACACCCAAGCGGACCGCGGATGTTCATGCGAACGTGGTTCAACTCGCGGACCAATCGGCGGAAACTGCGATCGGACAGGGTTTCGTTTGGTCCGCCGGAATTCGCGCGGATCTCTTTACATTTTAGCGAACTTTTTAATCTGGTCAACGACAGACGAATTTACTGTGAAACGAACAAGCGGCGTTCGCGGTCCGCGTGGGTGGTCCGCTGACTTTCCCCAGCGACCGAGACGATTCGATGGGAAATCTTGGCGCCGGGTCGCGAGAACCTCGAGCTCGACCAGAGGTCGCCGGTCGATCGGTTTCTATCCTCGCCAAGGGGCCCGTACACGTCGTACGATTCCCGGAATAAGGATCGAGGCCTGATCTAGATTTCTAGACCGAGTCCTAATCTATTCTTCTCTCCTTTCGTTCGCTTTTCCTTCTTTCAACTCTGTTACATCGTTTCCTTGGAAATAAGGGTTGAAAGGTTTACTTAGATTTACGAGCTTTAACCCTTAGCACTCCAGATGGTTTTGCAATCTATCAGCAACTGTTAATTTTTATAGTATCTTTGGAGAAAATGAGAAATGCTATAACATTCCTTCGATCTTTTATTTTCCTTAGTGCAAAATTTCGATGCGCGGAAAATCTAATAATTTTAAGTTTCTTTGATTCATTAAAATATTTGATATAACTGGTGCAATACTGGAGCCTACAGAGTGCAAAGGGTTAAACTTCAAATGTTTCACAGGCTTCGAGAATATTCCAATGTATATTAGCTGTTTATACTCTCTAATTTTCTCTTTCTCAATCAATACCTCCATCTTGATTTTCACTTCTAATTTGTTCGCGTCGTCCCTTTCGACAGAAACACCTCGTACTCGCCATTCGCGTGAATTCGAGGCGAAATCGGCGTCGCACGTCGAACGGCGGAATGGTGACGCGTACGGGCCCCTTTAGCAAACGACTGAATACTGTACTCGTTACGATTAAAAGAATGTCGCGCGCCTGCGGGATGGTAGCGTGGGCGCGTCTCCAATAGCGTGTATTTAAGACGTAATTTCCTAGACGTAAGAGGTTTAGCATACAAGACGAGCTCGTGAATACCTACCTGCGATAGGGATCAAGGTATCTGACGTAAAGATATATGCAGGTAACTGGTACGGTTATGCCGAGTGCGCCTGTCGGTCTCTTAAATCGATAGATCCGACGGTAATCGTTTCTCCGAGAGGTCCCCCACGATTCGGTGAAAGAGATCGTTTCGAGAGAGTCGAGTCTCGGGATTCCACGGACACTCGTCCGATGGAGGGCCGACAAAGGATAAGCTACGCGCGCACCGTCGATCGCCAACAAGGAAATCTATTCTTTTGTACGGTCCGGATGCGGCTGGCTTCATTTCCCCGGCTTTTCTCCCGTGGCCGCTTCCCGGCAAGGGAGAATAGAATATCTCACAGCTTTTCAGACGAACAATCGGACGATCGTCCGATTCGTTGACGCATTGAGCGCCGGCTCCGCAATAATGCGGATTTCTGGATTTGAATATGCAGTTAAAATGTACTATCTTAAATGTACAATGTTTTGAATATTTTTTTGGCTACTCGTTGATCAGATACAAGGCTTTAACCCTTTACTCGGAAGTTTTTCATTAGAAATATTCTTCTGATGAGATAGAGAGGATATTTTGTGAAACTAGACGAGAAATCACACATCGAGGCAAAGCTGTTTTGTTTGAATATTTCTCAGATTGATGCATTGTACGGAGTTTAATATCAAGTATCAAATTTTATAGTTGTATGAAATCAATTGGTGAGGCACCTCTCGAGTGCAAAGGGTTAAACGTCTCTTGTCGCCGGCGCTCAACGTGTCGAGAACAAGGGAAATCGAAATTTCGCGTGGGCGAGATGACCGTAGATCGTAGGAACGAGATTCACGGGGATCCTCGCCGTAACCCTCGTGCAGTGAGTCAATTAAAACGTTCAGGGTGTTCGAGCCTTCGACGTCCAAGCAGTTCGCGCGTTGCGAGTCGGGTTCCCCACGCTCTACGTCCCCTGCACTTCGATCGATCATATTTATATCATTTCCACTTTCGTTTGTTCAGTGTTTGAGAAAGTCGTCAGTGCGCGTGTAGTCAGAGTCCGTCGATGAACTCGCGGCAGCAACGGATCCTGCGTTCGTCGGATACGATGGACGAGCGATTCACCGAGAAGTAAAGAGAAAAGAGAGCGAGCGAGAGATGAGGGGCGAGTGGAGACGAGTGAGAGGGAACGAAAGAAGTATGACGGATAGCGAATGACAGGACGTTAGAATGGTGTGGAATGAATGAAGGGAGAACGCGAGACCCGAGATGGATCCACTCTATACGCATAAACGTGTGTGCTTTATCGACAGGTGGTGAACAGAACAATCGTTGGAGCTACGCGAACGGCTACGTGAACTCGCCGGCTTGGCACGTGCCACTGCGCGTGGCGCAGATTCGTAACGTAATGGTTCACGCAACGCCACGCACCCTCACCAATCGGTTCATACCGGCATACCCACGTTGAGAATGAACACGCATCGTTGCGGGACCGAACACGAGATCAAAGAAGTACCACGCTGCTCGCCGAGTCCCCGGCAAAAACGAATAACAACTATATATATCTTATATCGTGACCGTCGCGTCTTCGTCCCGAGTGAAATCGAAAGTAAAACATACAACGGGGTCTATCGATTGACAATTCATCGAGACAAACGAGACAAATGACCATCGTGCTAGCGACATTCGCCGTCGATTCGATCGAAAGGAACAGTACGAATCGAACGAGAAACAATGTCACGCGTCGCGCCCGTAAAAATGGCGAGTCGGCCATTTTATACGAACGTTGCTACTCTCGCGACCCCTGCCGTTACAGATGACACGTGTCGTGACGTTCGTTACTCGCCAGGAAGTTTGCGAGGTGCCGAGATCGAAACGATTGATCTAAGATATTCGAATGTCACGTAGGAACGGTCGTTTCGTTTACGAACGGCTTGTCTCATGGAGATCGCGTCTCGATCGACTCGTTCGATCGATCCTTCCTCTCATCGCTTGCCAACCAGTTCGATTCCGGTTCCCCTTTTCACAGGCCTTCTCCCGTTTTCTCTCGTTTTCTCTCTTTTTCTGTTTTTCTCTCTTCGCCGATCTTTTCCGATCTCGGTAGATACCCTTAGATGTCCGCGTTGCCACTCGCACTCCTCGTCTGCGTCGCGACCCTCTTCGAAATCTTGCGTCACGCGTGCATCGGAATTCACCGGTTTGTCGCTCCGTTTTCCAACGATCGGCGCGCGATCGGTCGTTCCGGACGAATCGAGCATTCGAAAGAATCCGCCGGAATCGGTGAACGATCTCGTAACGATTCGTAACGGCAGACTGATCGATCGTTACTCTCTTTCGCGCGTTCCTCCGAGTTGTGAAGTTGCACGCGTGCTCGGCTTTCGAAGATGACGCCGATCACCGACACTTGTGTCTGCATCCCGCACCTTTAGATACAGTGATGCTCTCTTAAATTTTCAAATCTCCGGACGCAGCATTCAAATTCTGGCGAACACGATCACCATCACCCTTTGGTTCCCTGAATTCGATTACCTTCGCCTGGCGAATGCAAAGATGGACACAGTCGGGACGTACAAATATGCTACGATGAAAATTTCAATTGAAGTCATTTTGACCTCACCTCGAATGTAGTACCGATGGGTCCTCGAAATTCGTCCGATTAGTAGAAACTGACTCATTTAATCGGACGAATCGGAAGAGACTGGTACATTTGAAGAGGTAAGACATAAATGACTTCAAACTGAAATTATCATCATTGCACGATTGTCGCTCGCTTACACCTAGCTCGAGACAGTAGTAGCAGAGCGGGGACGGTACGTTGAAATTTAGCCGAGCAGACCTTTGAAATTTAAGCGAGCATCACCGTAGCGAGTCACGGTAAACCGTGTGTTCCATCGGGCCCGACGAGCAATAACGCGTTGCCCGAAGCTTTCGAGCGTTTCAACGTTCCAAAATCAATCTCGCGTTCCGCCGGCAATCGAATCATTGAACTCCGTCGCATTCCTTGGACGACGATCGACGCGCGTACCAGCGCAGCCCGTTACAGTGGAATCTGAACGCGATGATCGTGACAGTTTCACTGAAAGCTTCCTCGGACGAAGGTGTCGAAAGTTTCGAAAGACGGAAACTGCGACGAGACGTCTCCCGACGTCTCGCGCCCGAGAAACTGATAAGTAGTCTCCTCCTGTTTTAGGTGTGTAGCTTGCCGTTTCCATTTCCTGTCTGTCCCCCGTGCCTTTACGCGCGGAGATGTGAATTCACGGCACGCGAGTCTTTCCGCGTTTCACCCTTAGCACTCCAGGTTGTTCTGCTATCTATCGGCAACTGCAACTAATTCTTATAGTATTCCTAGCTAAAAATGCTATAACATTCTTCGATCTTTTATTTTCCTTAGTGCAAAATTCGGATGTGTGGAAAATTTAACGATAGGGTAGTTTCTTTAAGATTCATTCAAATAGTCAATACAACTGCTGCAATATTCGAGCACTACAGAGTTCAAGGGGTTAACACGATAAATGCCACGTCACTTCCGAATTGGAAACGATCGTGACATGCGAGATAATCGACGTCGAATCAAAATGCTTCTAAATAAAGATAAAATTGTAACGCAGATCGTGAACAGCGAACAATCGCTACTTTTCTTCTAAAAGGAGTAGTAAAGATTCTCGTGGCGCTTAAGGTGTTAATCATTTTCCAAATTCTCCTACATCGAGCCCGATGACCGGGTCACTCATTCGTGTCACGCGTCTCCCGTAGACTCGATGCCGGATATTTCCAACAATCGTCGATCGAGTGACCCAGCCATTTTCGCGCGACAGTTAGCCGATACACGCCGGATCCTACCCGATCGGAACGCGACGCGAGCCGATCCATCGGACTCACATCTCTGGCTGCAGTGTGGTACTACCGGTACTCGACTTGTCCCCGCATCGTGCACCCAACGACGGCACGATCCCGCGTTCACTGGTTGCTCTTAGGTACCCGTGAACCATTGCGTAGCGAAACCAACTCTCAAGACCCCCCTGTTGTCACACGATAAACGAACAATCTCACCGATGATCGTCTCTCTTTGTCGCCCGTCTCTCACCGACACACGATCTCACCACCCGTAATCTGTCACACATCGCCGCCGATCTCGGGGATTTCCCGATCGTCCTCGCCGCGATAGAGTCACGCACCCCGAGAACACCTACTTAACTTCGCACACGCGTACACGTGAATATCTCGTGGCCGGTAATTGTTGCAACGTATGCGTATAATAATCACACTGTAACATTTGTACATGTCTTTCACTCGCTCGCTCGCTCGTTCACTCACTCACTCACTCACTCTCACTCTCTCTTTCTCTCACTTTCTCAGTCTCTTTCTCTTTCACCCTTTCTTCGCGTACCAGCATTATTTCTGAACCCTCTAACGTGGCCTTCTTCCAGGTGTTCCCGTTCGCTGTTCATTTTCCAGGTGGTCGATGATCCGCGTCGCGACGCGCGGATTTCTTTTCGTATCCGTTTCGCGTCTGTCTCCTATTCGAAAATGATTTTGATACTGTCGATCTCGAACCCCGTTTCGACGGTGCCAAATGTGTCTTCGACAACTTCCCGATCGCCGCTTGCCTCGCATTTCACTTCTCCAGCGCGTTTCATCGATTTCTTTGGGAATTCGACCGACCACGAGGCATCACGATATGCCGGAAATTCGTTTCATGCGATCCGTAAAGACTGCAGTTAGATTTTGATACGTATTTTTACATTTTATTGTATCCCTCCTGTTTGTATTCCACGCGGCCGCACTCGCGCCCGCGGTGTGTAGCTGTAGTCGTAGCTCCGTAGGATTGTACCTCTCGATGTATCTCGGTGTAGAACCGGTGTCGACACTCTGTTCGTTTAAGTGCCAAAATGGAAACCATATCTACGTCGTTTCGAGCGAACATGCGACGCAAGCAAGTCCATCCGAACTCGAACTTCTTCGACCGGTCGGTCGAATGACGGGGACGGCTCGGAAACGGGGTTCACGCGTTTATTGCGCATTCTACTTTTCTAACGATTCCACGTGGGTATTCACCCTTTGCACTCGGAAGATTCTCGATAGAAATATTTAACATTTTTGACGAGGCGAAGACGATATTAGAATTAACTCGAAGGGAAATCACATTTATTCCAATATTTCACGTATTGAGGCGTTATACAAAGATCAACATTAAATATCATATTTTATAGTTTTACTGCATTAAATCAAGTGGTGACTGAGACTCCCGAGTGCAAAGGGTTAACCCTAATCGGACCACGGTGCGACTTCAGTCACATTTGACATTTTTACTGAAATTTTTCGATTTCATATTGCATTTCCAAAGGTCTTTGTGAACTTTCAAAATTTGGGCCATATAAACAAAAACAACTTAACCCTTGTTACCTGAACAAAACTCCAACAGAATTGGACACTGTGTCGCCGGACGACATAGTGTCAATAATCTTGCATATTATATTTTTCAAATCAATTAAGAAAATTGACATTTCCGACAATTGCCTGTACAACACGTCGCTGACGTTCCTCTAACAGAAGCATCTCGACGTGTCGCGTCTTTCAACCGCAAGTGGTCAATAGAACTACCGAGCATTTAATACAATTAATATGCAATCTCTATAAAAATTCAGTTTCTTTGGATGCTCATAGTACTCAAGTGAAACTTTCCAAAATCATCTCAAATATTCAATTCTTAAGGTATTAACCCTTTGCACTCCGAAGTTATCACTAGAAATATTCCAACATTTCCTAACGAGACACAGACGACATTTTCTCAGATTGAAAGAAATCTCACACGCATCGAGGAAGAGAACTATCTTCCAATATTTCGTACATTGATGCATTATACAAAGTTTAAACATCAAAGTTCACAGTTCTGCCGTGTGAAATCATTCGGTGGCCCAGAGGCGCCTCTGGAGCGCAAAGGGTTGACTGGTACGGTTCCAGTGTTAAATCCCTGCCGGTGTTCTCCCAACCGAACGGTGTACCACTGAAAAAGTTCGCCGGAAGCTCCTTCGAAGCGGATACGAAAAGTAAACCACGCAGGTCGCGTAGACACCGAAATCGCCACCATTCCCGAACGCTTCGCTAAATCTCTGTACTCCCTTTCGTTTGATCTTCTAACGGTCGCCCATCGACATTACCGTACTCGTTAACTCTATATATGTTCGAACTATACATACGTATACATATATACATATGAATCTATACATATATATATATATACACGGTCCGTATATATAGGCGCGGTGTGACTGCTGCCCCCTCCCCGGACCGACGGGAAAAAAGGAATCGAAAATCGGTGTAACCGTGGTTCGATCACGATGCATTGAATTGTAGAAAGAGTAGGAGGATGATGATGATGATGATGATAATGAGGAGGAGGAGGATGGAAGGGTGGGCAAAGATTCTCGAGAGGGTGGGGGTGGTGGAGAAAAATAATTTCTATAACGGGGAGCCACGGCGTTCGAGGGATGGGGGATAAAAAAAACGACTTTCCAAGCGTAGGGAATCTATTGTACATTATCGATTTATTGATACATCAATTATGATAATAATAAATTATATACAAAGCGAGTCTTCTGTGCGCGTGTGCGTGTGCGTGCGCGTGTATGTGTGTACGCGAGCTCTTAGAGATGCGTCGTGTGTTGTCGCGTCACCTTTTATTCTTTGCGTTTTATAATTCGGGATGATTTCTATGATTTCTCATCCGTTCAACGATCCATCCCCTCGGAAGACGAATCTCGCGACAGCCCCTCGGATCGGTTTTCCTCGAGACACAGAGTACGTTGGGACGCCGAGTCAGTTCCTACCGTGAAAACTTTCCCTTTGTCCGATCGGTTTCCGGTTACACGATCGAAATGAATTTTCAAGCGAAAAGTATTCGGAGATTCGAATACTCGAAGAGATTCATCGTCGAACGACTCGGCGACCGCGAGCGAAGAGTCGATCATTGGATCCCACCGATCGGCTCCCGATTTTTTCCGCGCTCCCCTTTAACCTTATGTGTCTGTCACTTTCTCTGTCTCTGTCTCTCTGTCTCTTTTCCCCTCTGTCTCCCCGAGCTGTTTTCTCTCGACGTTCGGCTTTTGATTTTCTCCGTTTACAACCGTTCGGAACCGCGCCCCTTCCGGTCCCGGCGAGTCCTCCTCTTCCCGATCTTTATTACCGTATCTTTTTATCGCACTCCCGGATTCGTTGGTCGGCCGGACGACAAATAACCATGTGTGAGTAATCCCCAACAGTGCCTATCTTTACTGTCAGTGATACGTTCGTTACTATTATTCTATCGTTACATTACTCTCTTGTTCGTTACTGTTATCGTTTACTATTATTCTTATTATTATCGTTGTTATTATTATTATTATTATTATTATTGTCAATACTGTTACCGCTATCGTTAACGTTATTACCGTTACTGTCGATCATGATTTCTCTGCTATCGTTTTGTGTATCGGCGAGAGTCCGCGGAGATCCGTTAGCGATCGTCTCCTGCGGAACGATCGAAGGTTACATTCATTTTAGCCTTCGGGTGAGAGCCCTGTCCAATAGGAACATTTTCCCAACGTTTCAGCAGGCTTCGTCAGGGGGCTAAAAGCACACTGATACTTGTGTGTCTTGGAAGACTTTCTTTAAATGACCCTGTTCATGTTCCGGTGGTTACCAATCAGTCTTAATTGGTCAGCTGGACAATTAAAAAAGCGGGAGGAGGGAGCGCCGAATGGGGTTCGATTGATATCCTGTGTCCCTGTTGACGTTGTTAGGGTGTTTCAGGATTTCAATAGATTCCCTACATTTGCGCGGGAAGTAGTCCTTGCACCTGGTCAGGATCTTGACCTCTTCGAACTGGATCGTGTGTCCCGTGGTCAGCTGATGTTCCGCAGACTGGGTGTATTTTAGTCTGGTGCAACGACTATGTTCGATAAGGACTACTTCCCGCGCAAATATAGGGAATCTATTATAGCGATCCCGGCTGAGCCCCCAATTTTATAGTGGGGCTACTATTATTATAGATATTGAAAAGGTGCGTCTTCAAAAAAATACAACTTAATACCACGAAGGCCAACACGCGACTCTCTATCACGCACAAAAATGTTCTCCGCTGTCTCTCACCAAAATGTCCACGTTTAAAGAAAGTCTTCCAAGCACACAAGTATCAGTGCGCCTTTAGCCCCCTGACGAAGCCAGCTGCAATGGCGGCGGAACGTTGGGGAAATATTCGTATTGGACACGGCTCTCGCCCGAAAGTCAAAAATGAATGTAATAACATTCCAGGCCGCGAAAGCATCAAGACTGCTGATCGAAGATTGTTCGGTTGCTCGGTAGCCGTACACCGGGTTTCTCTCTTCGCGTAGTAGACAGTGTACTTTGGTAGTTGTTTCACCAGGGAATGCATCCGCGGAATGGCTTCTCTTCGTTTCACCGATCGCAAGTCCGCTCGTAGGACGAATGGATGAGTCTCGTTTCGAACGAACGAGACTCGCTCGGTCGTTTCTGATCTTTACACCTCGTCTTTGCGCACGCCAGTTCGATTAGTTAGTACGTAACGTAGTTGCACGTCGTAGGACGCACTTAGAGACGTCTCGCGGTTCAGCATGGCCGCGGAAATATGTTTTCACCCCTTAGTTGACGCGAGCACCGTTCACCGCGTTTAGAACCGACGCGTCGATCGATTCGTTCGCGTGGCTAATTAACCCCTTGTCGTACGAGTGAGACTCGTGATGAAGATTTCTGGACTAATTTAACCCCTTAACTTGCACGCTCGAGTTCATTCGAAAACAGGCCAAACTGGAGAATAACAATGTGAAAGCAGAGAAAAATAATCGTTTTATTGATATTTATCGTTTAACAAGAATCAATGTTGTTCATTGCCCACGGATCAAAGCAAACAACTATTTTGCTCTTATCAATGTATTATTTTCAAATGAAATTTCCGCCTGAAGTAGAATGGAATTTTGTTGCATTTCCTCCAAATTGATAGTAAAATTACACACGAGCTTAATGGAGAAAGTAAATAGTACAAGGGGTTAAATCTCGGATCGACAGCGAAGTACAAATTTCGCCTCGGTATTGCTCGTTCCTGAATACTCAACATTCTCCTGGATGAAACTATCTTGTCCCTTCGCTGCGTCTCTACATTTCACGAAATTTCTATTTCCTGTCGTTCCAGTCACTTCGTTGTTCTCCGCGCGAATCGTTCGTCCGTTTTTCTTTTTTCTTCTCGACGTACGTAGCAGCGATGTACTTATGCGTGTGTGTGTGTTCCGCACAGAGTTTACGAGTATGTCACAATTGCACGTGCATCCGAAAGTAAAGGAGCTAGCGCTCGTTTGATGGTCTGACCGGCTACTCGACGGTAGAACGATTGTTTTCCTTTGTTCGCGGACGCGGAACGGACGTCCGTAGACGCCGGAAGCCGGGGTGCACCGTTTGCATGGAAATACTCTCTCCCGTTTCTGCTCTTCTGTTTCCTCACGGGTTTTCGAGTTTTCTTTTCCGTTTTTTCTTCACTTTCTTCTTCAGATTTACTTTATCATATATATATGTATATCTATATATTTATATTTATACTTATACTTATATTTATATTTATATTTACATTTATATATACATATATGTACACTTACTTTCTCGGGCCGTCCGCTCGATTTTGCGCCTCTTATTTGTGCTTCAGAGACGCCAGGAGGAATTCCCTGTCTGACTCGTGTGCGTTTACAGATTCCGGGACCGATAATAAGCCGGGCGCGCCGAAGAGACCGGAGAACAACAACTCCGTTTTCGCGAGCGACAGATCGCCGGAGAATCGGCCCGTGAACGGCGTCATCGACAACAGCAACTCGAACATCGTCGACACGCCGGATCTCAGCCCGGTGAAGCAGGTGGTGAGGAACGGGGAGGTCGAGGATATCGAGATTCGGAAAACGAAGGCAGGTCTCACGTAATATTCGAAACGACTCGAAACGATTTTCAACGCGTTGTCCGCCACCGATCGTCGGATCCTCTAAATTACTTAACCCTTTCGCGACGGGTGCCGTGTATATACGGCAGTCATTTATTGGTTTTTTTATTCGCCGCATTCAAATTTGCGAAAGGAAATATCAAAAAATCAATTCAGACTTTCATTCTAACACCATTCGCTTTTAGTCACACGATCAGTAATATACGAAACGCTCGAAATTCGCGTGGCGGTCAACGCGCGAACCGCCATTGTTACGCATCATGGAAACCTTCTGTTCTGAGCAGAGATGGCCGACGGACAAGGCGTACTACATAGCGAAGGAGCTTCTGATGACCGAGCGGACCTACAAGAAGGATCTCGACGTGATAAACGTGGTATGTCCATATTCCCTGTCATTAAAATATCATTTTCAGATAGCGTACTAATCTGTTCTTCTCCGAGTAAGCTCGACGAGTTTCTATCCGAGCGTGGAAACTCGAGAGAGAGCAGGGCCAAATTGTTTAATTTTCGTCGCTTTTTCCTTTTTCGGCTGACAGTGGTTCCGCGAGGAGGTGTCTCGAGAGGCTGAACTGGAGGGTGAGGCGGTGGTTTCGCTGATCGAGCTGTTAGCGGACGTCCACGGACCGTGCCTCCAAGAAATGGAGGCGAGGCTGGCGCGATGGGAGAGCAACGCGCGTCACAACATCGGCGATTTCCTCTACAACACGCTGCTGAACGTACTGCCGCTCTACGATCAATATCTCGAGAACCTGATACCGGTTCTCGAGAAGATGGAATACTACACGAGGACATCGCGACGCTTCGATCAGCTCTGCCGGGACTTCGAGGCGCAGAAACATTGCTATCTCCCGCTGACTTCGTTTCTTTTGAAACCGTTGCAACGATTGTTGCACTACAACAGTATTATAGACAGTACGTTCGTTATGTTATCCGATTCCTTCGGATATTTTACGCTAGTTCTTCTTGGATTAACTGTTTGAATCTCACGGGGTTTTACAAGAAACGAAAAATGCCAAGCGATGCGATTGCGCTTGTTTTGTTTTAATTTCGAAACTGAATGACGCTTTTCTATTTTTAGAAACAGATTTTAAATAGTTACATTCTTCCAGTCTTAGGCGAGTAATAACAGAAATAAAAATGAATAATTAGAAGAGATAAATAAGCTTCGTCTGATTCTACGAACCGATAGACTGCCACTTTTAGACAATGTAACAGAGAAGCGCCATCGCGCCGCTTGGGACTCACACGGTTAACAATGGAATCTTAATGGTATCTTATTAACATAGTCTAGTTGCTTTATGTATTCTACGTTGTTTCCAAGTGTACCATTTGACACACACAGAATTATTAATCCGCACTCGGAGCATTTAACGTTGCATTCAAAATGTTTTACGGGACTTCTATACGGGAATACTATAAAAATTAGTTGCAGTTGCTGATAGATTACAAAACAACCTGGAGTGCTAAGAGTTAATAAGCAAAATTACATATCGCGTAGAATAGGTGGAAACAAAATTCTTCACGCAAGATTTTCAAGTCTCTAAATGAAATTCCAGTATAAGGGATTGATTCGTTGAAACGAAACGATTACGTCGAGTATCGTAGAAAGTGAATTGTTAATTGTTAACTAATTAAACATATATTAGTTATCTGTAGCCGATTTGAATTTTTCAGGATTGCTGGATCATTACCCGAAAGACCACACGGACTTCGAAGATTGTCTGGCAGCTAGAGACCGATTAGGGGAGACGTTGTTGGAGGGTCTCAGCATCATCAATCAAGCTGTAAGAAATCCTCATCCTGTACCTTTCGAAGCTTAACAGTCATAACGATTCTAACGCTCGTTGCTATTCGTAGGAAAATTTAGTTCAGCTATGCGAGATGCAGAGGGACATCGGTGGTTTCGACAATCTGGTCCAGGAGGGTCGCAGGTTCATCAGGCAAGGCTGCTTGCAGAAGTATAGTCGCAAAGGCTTCCAGCAGAGAATGTTTTTCTTGGTAATAAGAAATAATAATCGAAATTTCAACATGTAAAGTGGCGGCTAGTAGCTAAAATTATGGTGCTGCTCCAGAAAATTTGTAGCTTTTGTTTTCACATGTTTGTATCTTCTTTATAAACTGGGGGATGACTACTGACATTAAGCTTAACTTGTCCTACGAGTGAGGCTCATTGAAGATTGTAACATGATTCAACAAATATTCAGTTCATTCGAATTCAAAGTAAATATTATTCCTCTGTAATCAACTGTTATACTTAAAAGGAAATATAGGCATGACATATGCTTAGAATTTTCCTCTTTTTCCAATAAATTATCAATGACAAAGTAGCCGTATCGTTCAGAGTTGAGAAAGAAATCATAGGGCAAGGGGTTAACTGGTTAAAGAAAAGAGGATTCATTATATGAAAAGTTATCGATAATATCAAGTAGATATCATCAAAGTGAATAACATCAGCCGCCACTGCATGTAACACAGATGTTCAGAATGAAAAGCTCTGAATGAATCCTTCCAGTTTTCGGACGTATTATTGTACACATTCCGTACCCAGCAACCGACGCAGTGCTTCCGCGTGCACGGCCAGCTGCCGTTGAAGGGAATGAAGATCAGAGAGAGCGACAACAAGACCGGCTCGGATTTCGCGTTCTCAATCGATGCCCAAGGGAATCAGTGAGTGTACCAGTGAATAGAATCACCGAGCTTTTAACAAGGTGCCAAAAGGACGGGTTCGTGTGCTATTAAAAGGTCAATTGGCAGAGGTCTAGTCGACTCGGTCGTTCCATTCTGTCGTCTCTGAACGGTGAAAGGTTTCTCAATGCTATTTAAAAGAAACGAATTTCTCGTCCAGTTGTCTCCTAGCGTGCTAAGTCGAGTTCCTTCTGGTTTATCGGTTCACCATTTTCTTCTCGATTTTCCCCGATGACGTCCAACCGTCACTCAAACGACATTCCCGGCAGGTCTCTGACGGTCGCGGCCAGCAACGAGGAGGAGAAGGTGCGATGGTTGGAAGACCTGAGCATGGCCATCGCGCAGGCGGACGCGGATCCGAAGATGCCGTATCTGAATCTGCAATCTTGTAGTAAGTATGCCACGACCATCATTCGACGGCTCGTTCGACGGAATTATTATTCGTGGGACAATTCCGCCAAGTTTTAGGGTCTGCCGATGAAATGGGCGACGGCGTCGGATTGGACGGCGACAGAGGGAACTGCGGGGGCGCGAAGGCGTCCAACACGACCGTACACGTCTGCTGGCATCGGAACACCAGCATCAGCTACAACGACCAGCTGCGAGCGTTTCAAGTAATAATAATCATGAGAATTGATGAGAGTTTCCTGCAACTTTCTGTTAACCCTTTGCACTCGAGAGATGACTCTCGCCACTTGATTTGATTCGCAAAATTATAAAGTCTTGTATACAGGGTGGGGCAGTAACTCTTAGAATCTCAGATATCTTCGAAATTATAAGTTTCACAGAAATATTTGAAATAAAATCGTGCGGCATTCAACGTGTTAACTTCACATATACTTGGAATATTCTAGATTCATAAAGAAACGAACATTATTAGCATATAGGGAAAATCAATATAATCTAGAATATTCCAATGCTTTGAGTCAAAATGCGCTCACACAGTCGCATTCATCTATTGCACACACATTCATCACTCATTAGTATATCTATTCGCACGCTCAATACATCTATTCCCACAATAATATAATATAATAATATAATGTCGGTTTCCTCGCAGAACCAACTCAGCGGATTTCTGTTGCGGAAATTCAAGAACAGCAACGGTTGGCAGAAGCTCTGGGTCGTGTTCACGAACTTCTGCCTGTTCTTCTACAAGTCCCATCAGGATGACTTCCCGTTGGCCAGCTTGCCCTTGTTAGGATACACGGTGACCACTCCTTCGGAGAAGGACGGGATCAATAAGGACTTCGTCTTCAAGCTGCAGTTCAAGAGCCACGTTTACTTCTTCCGCGCTGAGAGCGACTATACCTTTGGGAGGTGAGGGGATTGTTTTTTTAATCCCTTGTCACCGGTTTATCTTGCTTAACGCATTGCGCGTCTGCGCTGTGATAATGCGGGATTTCCAGTCTACAGTTTAACCCCTTGGCGTACTATTTACTTTCGTTACTAAGCTCGTGTAACATTTTACTATCGGCAGTTTAGAAGAAAAGCAACAAAACTGTCCATTCTACTTCAAATGGAAATTTAAAGATGATACATTGATAACAGCGAAATAGTTGCTTTGGTCCGTGGGTAATGAACAACACTGATTGTTGTTAAATTAGTCTAAAAATCTTCATCGCGAGTCTCGTCATTGTACAAGAGGTTAATATAACAGAAATCTAGGAATTTTAGATACGTGTAACACAAATTAATATTACTCGAATTCCTTATTCTTTTTCGTAACAAATTTCGGTCTGATTGATGTTTAAAAATACATCAATACAATCACCGACACTCGCGTTTCTAGCAGCTGAAACTCAGCCGGCGTGCAATGTGTTAAAATAGCAATGATCGCCGATCATTCGTTGCGAATACAATATTGAAGGAAATTCCATATTTTCCAGATGGATCGAGGTAATACGAAGCGCGACTCAGCAGAGCCACGTGCCGGTCAGCTTCAACGGGAAGGGCGTATATTAACGGGTGACCGCAATGTATTTGATTATGCGACGTAGGATTAGATAAGAGAAATCTCAGCGTATTCGAATGTTAAGATTCGCGTTAGGATCGAGATCGGGAGGGAACTGTGCGGCCTTATTGCAAGGACTGAAATTATTGTTCACGATCAAAATTGTAATCGACAATCAAATCAAAGAGTCGTGCGTCCTGGGACGGAGCACGAAGACTGTAAGTATCGTGCATTTGCGCATTGATGCATTTATCTCGTGCCGATTCCGCGGCACCATTGGCTGTTCGGAAAGAAATTTCGATATTACACGAACGCGGGCACACAAACAAACACACACAAACGCATACCGAATACGTAATCGCGGCTGCTGACAGGATAATCGGTGTGTAAATAGAATTAGTTAGATCGTAAGCGTATCGCCCGGTTTTGTTCGGTGTACCTCGCTCGCCGAGACAGCGGCGGGCATCGCGCGGCGTCGACGAAAGTGGAGGTCACGCGCGACGCAAACTTTGGACCAATTTTACATTGAGAGTTTTTTTGACGATCCATGTCTTGAGGAAAAGACAATAATTTCGTTAGCGTAGGAGCGTTTTTTCTCGTTGTTAAATTATCGATCGGTTGTTAAAGAGATTGCGAAGAGTTGTTGTTTCCCTGTTATCGGCGAGAACATTCGCGGGGGCGCGTGTTCGTTTCCTCGTTCTAACTCGGCTCGATGTTCTAACGAACGTCGACCGAGGGGAACCAGTGACCAGTCGATAATGCGAAGAGACCTGTTAAACGGGCGATTCCCGGATCGCGATCGGAAATTCACGTAGAAAGAGCGCGTCCCATCGGCACGGACGCGTTCCCGGCGTAATTTAGACTGATCTAGAGATATTACAGGATAGGTGAGAAAGAAGTCTTCTTAGTCAACGAGACGGGAGAGCGTTCCGAGGCGAGCCGTCGGGAACGACGCGACGACGAGCACCCTTCTCGTCTGTCCCGGTTAACAGGTCGACCGTTGTCTGTTTTTTTTTCTTTTTTTTAGTTGCTCCGATTGTTTTGTTACAAACATAGAATGTAATTAATATATGTATACAACACACGCGACGGTATATACGGAGAAGAATATTAGTTTTATACTCTGTCGGGCACGAAGGAGATCGTGACGAACCGCCGAGCTCGCGGGGACGGCGAGGCCGCGTCGGTCCGCCGGTTCCCGCGGACGGCTCGAAACTCGTACGTTTATTAGAGAAACAACGGAGGAAAATCGGAACGGAGAAAGGAATCGAAGCGTTTCCGCGCACGGAGCGAGCTTTATTACGCGGACTCGAAGTGTAAGTCGTTATGTAACATGATGTATCGATATTCCGCAATAAACGTACATATTGATACTCGAAGCGGTCGCCGTCTTGGGATCTGAAACCGTGCCGCCGCGAGAAGCGAGAATTTTTCCAGTGCGATTCGCAGCGGTACGCAACGGAGAGTGCGAAACGCGAGCAAGAAGGAAAAGGACGGAGAACGAAACCTTGGCTACGCGTATCCTTGATCGTGAATCCTTTCGGTGTTACCTGTGAGAACGGATCGCACCGGTAATATATTCGGAGGGACTTTTTCAGGCCCGATGAGCTGCTAACGAGCAGATTCTGCTAATGAGCAGAATCGCTCTCACGCCGCGGCTATTCGTGTACACGCGCAATTTACATGCGCTGGAATCGATCAATGTTTCCATTTTTACCGTTTACGAGTTTCTCGTATTTTTCTGCCTCTCTCTCTCTCTCCCTCTCTCTCTGTCTCTCGATCTATCAATCAACGCCGAGAAAAGCCACTGGAAATACCCGTAAGAAGATCGCGAGCGATATCCGGCAATCGTTTCCCCGATATCGCGTCGTATGATCGACGCCGATGTAATTCCTCGTCACATTAAACGCGGACGATGAATCCGGTCAGACTAGTATTCAATGTGATCGTTTATCCTTGGTACCGAGCGAATCGAAGAAAATCAATTGTCCGGCGCCGTGTCGGATAGTAGATGACACCGAGGACACGGAACGTCCGAGGCTTTCGGGGAAGACTCTAGGGTTCCAGCCTGCTCGCGGTTTTCGCGCCTCGCTGGAGACACGTATTTTCTGCTACGGAAATAAATCGGTTCCACGAAGAATCGTGCAATCGCGACCGTCCTGCGTACGATCCGATGGATTGTTGTTGGAACCGGGTCAATGTCTACGAGACGAATCGAGCGGGGTTATCAACGATATTTTCGCAGTTCTAGGCGCGAGACGCGCTCGAGATCTCCGTGGTGGATTTACGCGGTTTTCCTACGCCTCCAACGCTGACGGTCAACGGTTACGCAATCCCCTTATCGATCTTCAAAATTTTTTGCCCCGCGGGGGAACGGCGAAACAACCGAGCCGCGAGATCGACGATGACGCAGTTGGACGGGCGGTTTTACCGATATCATTATCTGACGAATTTCTTTCCAGCGATCCTGGGAACCCCTTCGGGATTTTCGCAGATAACGGATCACCCACGTCGACGTTTTCTCCTTTTTGTCTGCAGAAAATCCGGGATTGCCGACGAGGCGCGACTTTCCCGCGGAAAAATCGGACGAAGGATGCTCGGGAAAGTGGCGCGTCGGAGGCTTCAAGGATTACGAGTTCGACGGACAGGACGCGTCGGTGACGGATAATGGAACGACGGAATAGCATGCGTTCAATATTCGATGAAAAATATGTTTTCAAATAGAATTATTCGCTCGGAGACCTCTCGTTTCTGAACGAAGCGAATGAGCCTCTCGCGGAGCCGCCATCTTGTCGCAGCGATCGAAGCAACGGCGCGACAGCGCGGTTTCTATGGAGTCGTCGTTTGCAGTGTAGATTTCAAATTTGAAAGAACTAATTCGAAATTCTGCTTCTTGCGACATTGTCAAGAATCCTCGCAAGTGTTGATAAGTTTCTAGAACAAATGTTTCCTTCGAATCGTTGTCCAGAGTTCTGAAATTCGAAGCGATGCCGGAAGCGTGAGCGAGGTTTTCGGGCGAAAAAAGCCACGAAAACGCTTCAAGGCCGACGTTGATTGGAAAGTTCAACGACGCGAACGCGTCGGCTGTCGCCGGAGGCGATATTGGTTGAAGGAAGAGGCGCGAATCGTTCGGGACGTTGAATTCGCGAATCGCGGATCGCGAGACGCGAACGTGGGTCCCGCGTGGTCGCGCGCTCGCCGCCATTTACCTTAGCCTTGGCCAACGGACGTTTTTTTGCCCTCGTTGCCGCGTTTCACGCTTAGATCTGCGTTCGAGGAAGCGTCGCGACGATTTCAGGAAGATCCGCTGCTTAATGAGAGTGGGAGGAATGATATAAAGATGAGCGATTCGCCTGGCAGCGTAACAGAAGAATCGATCCCCAGCAACTATGCGCCGGTATCGAACGATCGGATTACTCGCCGCCCTGGCTCTTGTCTGCGTCCACGCACAAGGTATTTTCTTTTCGTATTCTCTCGTTCTCGTTCCTCTTCTTATCCAGACCATAGAGAATCTTTGAACTACCAAAAACATCGAACCTTCGACTGCAAGAATCTTAAATAATCCTAGCTCATCAACTTCCCAAAGACCATCGTTCTCTATAACTTTCTCTTTAAGTTCTCTATAAAGTTCTCTATAACTTCGCAACGAGTTAATCGTCTCAGATTTTCAAACTCGCCTTTCCAATCTCCCAAACCTTCCAAGCCGCCATGTTCAAAACGCATAAGATTTTATACCATTCGCATTTTACACAATTCTCTCGAAGTTCACAAGATTCACCCAGTATGTCAATGTTCCAGATGCCGTGGAAAGATCTAAACGTAGCCCCATACCAGGGTTCGGCTTGGGTGGATTAGGCGGTGGACTCGGAGGTGGCT